CCACACCCACACACCCGCACCCACACCCACACCCATACCGACAGCCACATCCCCAACCTCAGGTTTGTTATATTCATTAAATATCTTTGGTTTTGCATCTCTCATATAGGTACTTAGGCCACTTGATAAGATTGAGTCAGCAACATTGAAAGTAACTTGGTTATCGTGGTAACATTTACACACCCACACCAACACCCGAACCCTATGATTAGCAGATGTACTGACGTTATTTATTTTACAGTGAAACGATTGTTTTGCTCAATTCTCAACAATCATTGAATCCACCCATATATGTCTCGATATACTTTAACATAAATACACAGCTATTTAAAAAAACGCTTGTAGTTCTTATCTGCTATGAAACAGAACTTTACCTGTTTATAAGAAAATTTATGGAAGAACATAAAATATTCATAGAATCATAACATAATTACAGTCTGGTGTATAATTATAAGACCACTGGTTTTAGTACTTAGATTAATCAGATCGAGCTAATTCTTTGAAAATAAGAGTATTGGGGCATATGTATACAGTATGGAAATATTCAAGATTTTATCAATTATGCTTCATGGATTTCTGAAATTTCGTGGTTTATTATGGTGCATACATATAAGACCACTGTAAATGAAATAGGAAAAAAAAATTCAAAATACTGATTTATATCGTGTCTTCGCTCCATTTTGCTTAATAACTTCGAATATTCTGTCGGGCATTGAAGTGACTAAATCGCGTAGTTGATTAAAGCTTATTTCTTCCCATGACTTGAGTATGGCAGCTTTCAACTGTTCTTTCGTTCTAAATTGCTTCCCTTCTGAATAAACCTTCCTTGATATTATACCCCATAGGTTTTCTATTGGATTCAAGTCTGGAGATAATGATGGCTACGGCAAAACGATAATTTTTTGCGACTTGAACCAAGCCAGATTGATCTTCGCTCGATAGGCAGGCGCATTATCCTGTTGGAAGACCCATTCAGATCCGCCCAAACTATCTGCGATGTTGAGTAGATGTTTTTTGAGCACCTCACAATATTCATTCGAATTCATCCGTCCATCTATAAAACAGATTGAGCTCTTACCACCCCAGTCAAACGATGCCGAAATCATGACACTACCACCACCTTGAACACGAGTGGAAAAAATCTCTTCTTTAAGAAGATCATGCCAATAGTACGAAAAACTATCAGGACCGTCTAAATTAAACTTCTTTTCATCAGACCAGATGACTTTGTTCCACTTGTTATTCCATGTCATATGATCTTTGTGAGCTGTTGTTAATGCAGGAGAATGTTTCTTTTTCATTTTTTTAAGTATATTTGACCTTTTTATAACATGATTGATCGTCCATCTCGACATTTTCAAACTTAAATCATCAATAATGTTGGCGCAAGATATTGACTTGTTGCTGGCAGTTCTCAAAACAAGTCGTTTTGTACGTTCATCGACCTTTTTTCTACGACCAGTTCGTTTTCTTGAGCCATATTGAAGTGGATCTTTCAAAATATTTGTTACCACAGTTTTTGATCGATTGATTTTTCTTGCAATCTCTCGATGAGACTTATTTTTCTTGCATAGGTCTAAGATAGACCTTTTCTCGGTTTCTCTTAACTGTATTGCTCTCGGCATAATTAAACTTGAATGTGAACCGCTATCTGATTTATTAATTTTACTTATAGTTACTTACGATTCGTTTATTACTATAAACCTATCACGTAGTCCTATAATTATGCACCACAAAAATGGAGGAAAATCTACATATATATGAAAACGAAAGTATTAGTGCTTGAAAATTTTGTGGCGACATTCTTATGACACACCTATGTCAAATCACACGAAATGGTATCTATCTCATTAAGCTTCATTTTAAAACAAGTGGTCTTATAATTATGCACCAGACTGTATGTGAAAATAACTATTGAAAAAACATTGGATGATTGTAACTGAAATAATATGCCTATTCGATAGAAAGTGGGATCAAAGCAAAGGTACCATGCATTGAAACTCACATAAAGTGAGTAGAAAAACGTTCCAATGGATAGATCTTGAAAAGTTGTGTGCAAATATGTATTTTGTATTCGAGTAAAAATGTTCAATACTTTACTGAAATTTAGAGTAGAAGATATAATGCAGAAAATCGTCCATCAATGAATGTTTGTTAGAGAAGTCCACTATAAAAGCGTTTCGATTCATATAATTTAAAGTCTAATCTGGGCCAATTTTGAATGTTGATTATGAATCTGGAATGACATTTTGGATTCGATGAAAGATGAAATAATGAATGGCTACATTACGAGTATTAGTGCATGAATAATAGATGACGAAAGTGGACAGAAGAGCCTCTACTTGGCTCATTTGTGGTTCATGGTAATTTTTTGCCTATATTTTTTTCGCTAGGAGGATATATCATTCGATGCAGAATTTCAAGGGCTTTCAGAATATGGTTGAATTGTCTTGGGATGAGCATATGTTGAGTGACAATAGTGAAAATACTATATCATACGTACATTGGTTCTTCAAATGCTTTTATTTGTATGAAAAGTAGATTGTATATTTTGAGGTTAGAATATTTAATAAATACTCACGTTTTGTAGAGCGAAAAATTTTGCATCTTTTAAGATGTTCTCGAGCAAAAGCCGTAGAACCGAAGCAGAGATATCTCAAAACGACTCAGACCACCCAAAAAAGACCTATTTACTATATGAATAATCACTATGAAATTTTCGTTATGGGATAACTTTTCAGAGAGGAATCAGAAAGAGGTAACATTTTAGATTTAGCTATAGTATGAGTAAACCTATCATCCTATATAGTCAAATCGAGAATAAAAATTTTCCGACGGCTGAGTTAGTAAGTGGTTACATGAATGTTCTCTTAACAACATACCTACTCGACTAAATCCTTCTCGCAACAGATCGACAACTCTGAAATAACTAAAAAGAGAGCAGTGAAATCATGGCTTGCGTGAACTCGAACACATTCGGCAATATCAGTAGTATGTTGATGTGCTGGCCTCTGAAATATTTCTAACAACCGTGAATATTATAACCACACAGTTGATCAGATATTCGGACTTGCTTCTATTTGTGAACCTGGATCGTTCATTGTCTTGTTTATGAGTCTATGATACTCTGAATTTCTATTGATTTCTAAATGTTTATAATTCTCGTACAGATGTTGCTGCGTTGAACGAAAAACTTTCCCAACAATCGGCATGTGCAGCAATATAATGTCTCGTTATCTAACTGACATCCGCGTGCACATTCTAACATACAGAATGGAGTGTAGATTAAGAGGTAAAAGACTCAATATGTTGTAACGCAATTTTCATAAAGAACATCTGGCCATCGTGAAAATTCTGATGCAGTCTGAGTGATGGTAACGCAGTACGACTCAACATTTCTATCTAGTTTCCTTTTTTTTCTTAATCAACTTAGTCATGCAGCTGAGTACTCTAGTGGTATCAGTTGCTCCGAATATCATCATTCAATATCATATTCAGTGTATTGATTATTCAAAAGTCTAACTATATTACCTCCACCACATTTTAATTTACATAGTTGATTACTCATTCATTCAAGCAAAATGTTTAATTTGCATAGCGTTTGAGAGGATGTTAGGTATAAAATCTTGTCGAATAACTCGAGTTCGTGATACCTATTCTTCGGAGGCATGTATTGATTCTCACTCTAATGGAAGAGTACACTATAGAACTCGTACGGTGGACTTGTTGGGTGCATCAGGTCGTTTTCAAGCAAGATTTTACTATTCTGCTATAGCCCTAATCTTAATTAGAGGACCTTTCTCCGTTACTAAGGCTATTTTTCCATCGTAATCCCATCACTAAACACCGAACTCGTTGTGTGGAAAACTAACGGATCGATTCGTTTACGTCATGAGTATTTATGGTTTCTATTCTCCAAGTAATCATGACATAAAGGATGTTCCATAAGTAACGATCCCATTTTTGTTTCCTTTATATCTTTGTCGTAATCAGTCGTAAATAGATATTCAATGCAAGATTCTTAAAGAGCGTCATCTAAGCTATCAATAAAAAAAAATTGTATGAAATTCGCATGAATATTAATAGAGAACGACATCGATAAAAATTTTGAAAAAATTTCGTAAAATGCATTTTTTAGTTTATCTCTATAAAGAACAACCTTCGCAGTATTTTGTGAATATCTCTCTCATTTTTGTGATGGTTTGACTTCAATTTTTTTTTTAAAAGATAGCCTGTGAAACACTCTTCAAAATCCAATAAAAGATACCTCTTCAAAATGATAACTGGAAAACCATATCTGATCAGCAATGCTGCTACACTTCCAAAAGATCCAGTTTCGCAGCGATTTTTTTGCAAAACTAATTTTTTCTCATTTCCGAAAGAAATATGTTTCATGTCATCCCAAACTATCATTTTAAGAGGTATCTTTTATTGGATTTTGTAGAGTATTTCACAGGCTATCTTTTAAAAACAATTGAAGTCAAACCATCACAAAAATGAGAGAGATATTCACAAAATACTGCGAAGGTTGTTCTTTATAGAGATAAACTAAAAAATGCATTTTACGAATTTTTTTCAAAATTTTTATCGATGTCGTTCTCTATCAATGTTCATGCAAATTTCATACAATTTTTATTGATTGATAGCTTAGATGACGCTCTTTAATAATCTTACATTGAATATCTGTTTACGACTGATTACGACAAAGATATAAAGGAAACAAAAAGGGGATCGTTACTTATGGAATACCCTTTATGAGTTGTATCGATAAGAATAAAGCTCCTTGTCTGTTCAATACAATCGTTCTAATCTGAAATTTCTCTTTAGCTTGTGTCTATCTCAGTTAGATGAAATATGCATTGACTCTACAAATTCTTAATAATTTGACTACAGAATAGCAGTTTCAATGTTGCAGAAGTGTCCACACTTACTTTGTTGTAAACACATACTACGAGACACCTTCTGCTCAATAAAATTATGAATAAAAATATGGCAGTTCACCCTCTGATGTCCGACAACAGAATCAATAAGCGACGTCAGCGAAGAATACTTGCGTGAAGCATAATGTTAGCTCTGGTTCATATCTCCTTCATTATTATCTAATATTTACATCATATGCCTACATATTTTCTACTTGAGAGAAAGTAAAATGCTTCGAGGCGTAGTTCACAGCGGCGCTAAGTATAGTCTATTCATACCCCTTCTTATGAGAAAAGGTCTATGAAGAAACCTCTAGCACAAAGAAACTAAACCGTTTTCTTTCCTCGATTCGTAGAGAAGATGTCTTTTTCATGAATCGAACTAATCTTTGAGCGATCCTGTATAGCGTAACGATAAATAAAAATCAGGCTGCAAGTATTTTATGTGTTTTTTGCCTCGTATTAGGAAATATCACGCAACTTTCTCCCACGACCAACAAGTAGTCAATTGCTCCATCTTCATTAAATACTCGTTTATTTCAACCACTCTGGTGCCCTTTTAGAGTAATCTAGCAGGATTATCTTCTGATATGCTTACCATGTTATTAATTAGTGTTTTTCTTGTGACTATTACACTTTCCATTGGAAGTCTTACCAATACAACTAGTAATCCTGTGCGCATCATCGAAATTCGAACTAATCAACAGAGAAGTGAATCAAATATGTGTAGAGCGTGCAAACCTCGATATTTCTACAAACGATATCAGGAACCGTGGAGTTTTGAGATCAATACACCATCAGTTACGTTTACGAAGATTCCGGGTCTCGACATGGCTGTTCATCATACAGTTCCGATGATCTATACGATTCGGTTTCAGATAGCTTCTAAATTATGTAAAAAATGGCAAAACTCCTTACTTCACATTCTAATCAACAATCAAGTACTCATAAAAGACCAGTTATTCCCGAACAATGACAAACGTCTAAAAACTGGACCAGTTTGGGACACTAACTTGTTAGAAATAGATCACATCGGTGGCAGCCTTTTTAACCCTGGTGACAATACATGCGTGCATGTCCCATGCTTCAATTCAGAAATAGTGTTGATGCCTCCTGGTACGCACCTCATTGAAGTAGGAGGGAGAAGTGAAGAGTCTGGATTATTATTGTTGGGTGGAAAACTAATTGTGGAGATGACGGAATATGATCCTGAACTGCATAGTGGACTATCTTATCCAGTTGTTCGACCGCTGGATTAGACTGCTGTGCGATTTCGAACAGTATTCAGCTTAATTTTCGAAATGCTTTTTTGCCGGTTGCATTCGTTTTAATGAACTGATAATTATCATCAACTATTTATAGTTTACCTACATATTTGATTC